ATTTTATTGACCTATCGGATGGACGGACAGTCGGAAGGTAGACACGTGGTTTTTTGGAATAGACACCGGAGTAACTACTACGCGCAAGTACACACAACCTCCTCCCTGAGACATTCTTTCAGACTTCCTTCTCGTATAAAAAAGGCCAACACATAAAGTTTAAGATCGCGTGAGCTCGACCAAAGAGGTCAAGAATGGATGGGATGGAAATTGAGAAAAAATCCACGTCGTAATACAATTAAATAAAATTTCATCAGGACACAAAATAAAAATTAAGAGGAAATATCCTCAAGAAAACAAAAGAATAAACTCCAATTGTCAAATTATATTACATTATTTATCGGATTATTTACGTTTTTTTGACATCAAAAACAGACTATATTGTTATTTTATGTTGAAATAATCGATAGTCGATCCTTTATACAAACGCCGAGGTCTGTTTTTTACAAACCCCCCTTTTTCCCTCGTTTTACGAGAACAAGTTTTTTCAACGTCTGGGGACTTGATCAGACTTACCATTCAAAATCACAATGAGCGAAATTAACTACTCAAAACCTACGTGTTGAGATTATTAACATTTTTCATCTACGGTCAAAACCCGACGTTGCAACCTTTAGGGGTTTGCATTTAAGATTTACACGTAAAACAGGTATGGGATCTGTAAAAAATATAAAGTATTGGTTCTGGTTTTTCATATTCAATTTTGGTTTTACTTTGTTTGTTTGGTAAAACAAATTGTAATTGGTAGTAGAAGACCTCAGAACGATACGCATGATAACATGTACGATTCGGGTCACACAACTACTGTGTAACTCCTTTGGTACGGATCGAGGCCGAATATCTTGTGTTGCGTCCGAGAGACAAACTTTGTAAGTAATCCAAAGTTATATCATCTGCAACCAATCAAAGAACCGGAGGGTCCACGTCCCTTACACCTAACTCGTCTACATACTCTCGCTATCGTACGTACGTCGGGTCCCCTCGGGGGAGGGTGGAGACATTCCCCACCTTCACCTTTGGCCTGTTAAAATGATTGGTCGTGCTTTTTACAGCGCTACGGCTTCCAGAGATTAATTTTTGTATGTATTTATTGTCAAAGCATTTAATATACTCATTGCTATCGGGACGTTAAGAGCATTCCATGGAATATAACAACAAGTGTTTTCTGAAATAACTACATACCCCATTGAATTACGACTGAAGATTGTCAGCTGTCTTCCTCTCCCGTGTTGTTCCTCGATACGTAAAGGCTGCAGCACCTTTGACAACTTCTCTCTACATATCAAACATACCGGTAAACCAGCATCGTTTGCTGTGAAAGCATATAAGTCTGTACACACAGAATTAAATCCTGTGTTTCTCCGGTACTTTTCTTTGATTTATCCATAGTTCGCTCATCAAGCCGGGGGTCAGGTTGTTCGCCTCCAAGAAAAGGCGCTCGCGTGGGACCGTAGCAGGATGTGACGCATATTTTAGTTGACCTAATTAAAACCGTTTTGTTTTTTATTTATGTGTCACAGTATCAACTCAAAATACAATATACGAAACATTTTCAACCATGCAACAAAATATAAATAGTCCTACAAATACTTTTATTTGATTTCCTTCTTATTTTTGTCTAAGCTCAAGGGAGCCAGAGCAGAGGGCTTAAAGGGCCGCATGCGGCCGTGGGCCGCCGGTTGCCGACCCCTGGACTAGTTGGTCAATTGATACCTAGTTTGATGGATTCCTCTCCAATAATTGTTGAATGCTGAGGAAAATTTGAGGCCACAAAGCTTGCTTCCTGATTCAAAGGGACTTACATCTAACCTACAGTAGACGTCTGCATGGCTGCCAAAATATTACAATGATATCATATCACATACGTTCGGAAGAGGATTAGGGCCTCATGTGAATTATGTTTAAAGATCTGACCAAAAGGGAACATCTTTTGAGTTCTGTGATTAAATCCAACTTTTTTTTCTTCAGAAAATCTCAGAATTCTAAGAAAAAAGGAATGGTACATTGTGACACTTAACATATCTTAACAGATCTGATACAGGTGTACCTTATAGAAAGAAGTACATCAAACAATGTTCAATAGAGCCTTTACAATACCTTTCAAACTGTAGAGTCAGACAGTTTTAGTGAAATGTTTCAGTACATCTTCTATAGTAATGATTCAAGGACTAAGTGGTTTAAAGGTTTTCATTTGAAGACAATGGATGTATTTACTAGGACCCCATCAGTTACTGTAGCTAGGAATGAATGACAGGTGTACAGAGCCATCACGTCTCAGAGTGAGGGCTAACAGATATTAATCAGGACGAGTGGATGATACAGCAGGTAAACAGGACACCTAGTGTGTCAACAGGACGGGAACAAGGGCGGTCACCACGTTACAGGAAGAAAGACGTGTACAGACATAACCATTGGTCCAAATCGACTGCCTGATTGGCAGAGGGCAAGAAGGGAAAGGTAATTGGAGGGGTGTCAGATAATAGGTACAATTCCTAATTATAAACAAAAGATAACTTGGGTTGCGGTCGAATATAATTTTTTGCTTAAAAAGGTTCCTGACAGAATGAAATGATGAAATGTCATCAATGATAAGATCTGTTTGAATTCTCTAGATGACAGGAAAGGAGCTTCAATTCTTCTTTTATTATCTCATTTAGCATGGGATATGCTGAAGGAGATTTCCTTTTATTCAATGTCAATTAATAAGAGTGGACGGGACAAGCGTGAGAAACCATTCAGTTTGACTTTACTTACTTTTTGTTTTAATCAAGCCTTGGTAATGAAGTGTTTTCCGCGTTTATAAAGCATGCAGGAATCAACAGGTTAAGAAAGACAGAGTGCAACACATCTTATCGCGCTTTTAGTAGTCCTTCTAGAGGCACATCTGTATCCACCACTGGATCAAATATGTCGCCTAGTGTAATTGCAGTCGGATTCTCAAAGCACCGCTGTTGTGTTTTCTTAATTCCTGTTGAATTCTCCTATCATCTTTCCTTAACCCTGTGGCGAGTCTCACAGAGGTTAAGGAAAAGAGCTTATGAGAAGACAATAGGAGCTGAATTCGACCATAGGCTGCAGGATCTGGATCTAGAGTATATACATTTGATCTACAGTACTTTAGAGAGAACAGCAGATTTGCATTGATGTTTCACGGCCAACTCTGTAATCCCTTTGGAAAATAAAATATAATGGAGTTTTCAGGTGTTGTGCTAAAGCTAAGCTTAAATACACACCTCTATTGGACACAAATAATCAATTCATTTTTCTATCTAACTCTAAGACAGAAAACATACATATTTCAAAAGAGTCTGTGAGAGTGAGAGGGGCAGGAGATAGATGCAGTAGACTACATTGTAAAAAGAACAGATGCATTTTTCATTTGTCAGAAATATAATAATCTCTAATTGTCGTTCATGAGCTGAATTCCTCTAAAGCACCTGCTCGATTTCTTGCATTCCTTCAAAAAACAGGTCAAGTTTCTGTTCCTTTCCGGTATATTCCTCTAACCATTACTCATTTCCGTGTTCCTGTAGTTACCTCAGTCATCTCCACCCTTTTGGCCAGCATCTCCTGCAGAGCGCGCACCGACAGGGACTGCACCAGGACGAAGCTGCAGATGGCCAGGTCCGGGGGCACATTCTGGACCAAACAAGGGTACATACATGAAGGACACACGAGTGAAAATCACAGGTTCATTCTTGGATTCATCCCAAGTGTGTCACCTCCAGGGCTCAATTTTGTAGGGGAACCAAATGATGGAATGGCTTTTCCCAGCTGACAAAACACATCCATGTTCATCCATAGAGAGGCGAAGTCCCGCCCATCTACTTCCGCCCCATGGAATTATTTCGGAAAAATTATGTATTGAAGTCAATGGGGAAAGAAAACGTATCTTTCGATCCCGTTGGAATTGTGCCACGAATTACACATAATGATGTTTGTCAATCTTAAACAATCATTTCCATGTCAAAAAAGTCACAGTTTGTTGTAAAACTGTTGAAATATAAGACTATGAAAAATATTACATATTAAAATATTATACTAGAAAGACTACAAATCCCAGAATCCCGGTCCCGCATGCTGGCTCTTACGGAACCGACTGACTCCCCTTGTGTGCATGTACAGCTCTCAACATGCCCAGACTTGTAGTGATTTTCACCTCTTTTAATACTTTTCGCCTCATTCTGAAAGAAAGAGGTGAAATGTGCCAACGTGACGACCGTCTTGGTGTGTGGTGCGGGACGGGAGATGTAGTTCATTGAGCGTTTCACACAAAAAAAAGTGTTACTTCACAGTTTTACGACACATTTTTTTTTTTTTAAATTGACAAACCTCATATGTGTAATTCGGGATCGAAAAAGATAATCTTTCTCTCTCCATTGACTTCAATACATAATTTTTCCGAAATAAGGTTCCATGGAGGTCCCCCGGAGAGGGAGGGACTTCGCCTCCCTATAAAATGTTTCAAAAAACAAAAAGAAAAACAGAATGTAAACAGATTTGTCCTATGTATTTCATATTTTTGTTGTATTATCTGTTTTGTTTCACTTATAATGATGTTACTATTGCTTAGGAGTCAATGCAAGTGTATAAACAAAAATCCCCCTCGTAGAACATATACTCATACACTTTTCAAAATCACATTTCCTTTCTTTCTTAACATTTGTTTGTTATTTCTTTTTTGTTTTTGATATATGTTGACTATTAGTTTGCTATCATCATTTCATTTCATTTTTGTATATGAATCTTTTCTTCTCTAAACCCTCTCTAATATTGAGGGTTCCAACAGTATCTAGGTGTAGGCTTCAGATAACCCTAACCCAGTGTGTAATCTGCCTCAGTTATCTGTTATGTTTGTGGGTATTTCTAAATTGTCCCTGCGTCTCACCTGAGCGTTGGACGTGGTTTCCAGGAAGCAGAGGCGGTTCCCGAAGCCCTCGCAGGACAGACACAGCTTCACCTGCTGATCCTTCATGACGGAGGCCGTGCACTGCAGCACCACCTGGTCCTCCTGCAGCCCCAACACAAACACACACCTTTACACACCGGCCTTTTACTGTTAGGACACTTTATTTTATGACCTGTTACTGATTTCAACCACACACTTATTTCCCTTTGCTTTTTGCTGCTCTCATTCCTGCCACACTTGCTTTTTATATTTTCGTACACATTGTTTTATTGCACTTTTTGAGTAAAACTGGCTTGGTTTGGCATTTGGTGCAGGCATTAAAATAAGTCCTTGCTGTACAGTACACTTAAAAAATGTAATCAATCAAAACACATGATATTATCCCATTTACTATAATCCATGAATCATTTGCATGACTGCTTACAGTTTTGCAAGCATGGTACAGCATGGTTCAATGTTTTGATGCATTTTTTTTACTTGAAAGTCCACACTATGAATATCAAATAGCAAACTGACGTTAGATTATTACAGTGAATGTTACATTTGCATTCATTTATTATATCATCATTATATGTTAACACTGTGGTGAATCTTTCAATATATTTTAGAAGAACCTGCTGCTGGATTACACAAATAATTCAAGTCTCAAGTGTCTGCTAATTGGTGTGCATATATTAAATGAGAAATAAAAAACAATAGCCGGTAGTGGGGTCAAGATACTGGTATAAAATAAAAAAAACATGACATGCTAACTTGTGGCTAAGGAGGCCTAATAACATTTCAAAGTTTGAAACGTTATTAACTAACAGGGCTGTATTCACAGGGGTCCCTTGACATTTCACCGCAAGAAACCTGAAGGAAAACCTCTATGGACAGTCACCCCTTTACATACAGGACCACTTTATGCCCAGGGTTCCGAGGGTTACTAAAATTATGTTCTTTGTTACGATAGCTAGTTAACTGTAAAACAACAGAACAAGGTGACCTTAGTAAAGAAGAAACCAAGATGTTTAGTTTCAAAAATGTGTCATTTTATATTATATGGTAGTCCTAAAAAAATTGTAGTTTACAAATGCTGTTTTAGTTTAACTTAGTATTTTTGTTTAATAAATCAGGTTTCCACCAAATGCATTAAAAAAATATATATTTAAAATAAAAATAAATGTAAGTAGGTCTAATTATAATATATTGATCTTTATTTTAAAGTGTATTGTAAGATTGTAATCCTGCTAGTAATCCTCATTTTAAAAAAAGCATACCACTAATCTGATATTTTTTGTATGTAACTGTAAGAGAATACAGTTACCTTTTCTTTTGTATCCTGATAATGTAATCTGTTACTCCCCAAGTCTGTGTATGACAGTCAAAGACAGTTGGGGGCAAATTTGAGCAGTTTGTTGAATGTATTACAAATGTAGTACTTTTTCTGGTTACTCATATGGTATATTTAAATATTATTGTGTACTTCCTTAACGGTCTTGGAATTGTATATTGTATATGACTGGAAAGCTGAAACTCTAGTGGATTTATTAAGCCAAATGTATTAGGATGTTAGTCCCCATAGTAGGCCTTTCACTGGAGTGAGAACATGTTCTTTAACATGGCCTCACTGTACAACAACCATCAACTAAAGACTGAGAGACTTCAGATAGCTTTCCTATGTACAGTATATTGACAATATGGGAGTATCTAAGCAGATTCCAAAACAGAAACACTGGCCATCTAAGGGCTGAAACATGCAATTATTGCTAAAACAAAAAGTTCCTCTCATATGGGGTTCCCACAATAGATACACACAACTCACATCCTCAAACAGAATGCTAACGGACAGTAATTTGTAGCTCCTCGTCAAAGCCAGGACCCTCCGGGGACCGGTGTAAATACAGCAATAAACACCCCCCCCACCGTGAAACCGACACCTGACACTCAACATTCCCAGCTGTTCATTCTCCTCAGTCACTACCCAAGTGGATTCATCGCTGAACCTGAAGACTTTTCTTCTCTACGGTTCGGGACATGTTCCTGAAGGTTCACCGCTCTCACCTAACAGCGAATGGATCACTACCTTCTCGATTTCGGCCTGTCCGCTGTCCTGCCATGTCCCCGATGACTTATCGTGCCGTGGCCAGCGCAGGAGGGTGCATGTCTATGTTTGCGGCAGAAAAAGTGAAGTGAAGCAGATCAGTGAGCTCGTAACTCCTCTCTTAAACCCAGAGGCCTCTAGGGTTTCTTAGGCGAAATAAAGTGTGCCCTCTTCCTTTGGCAGGGGTATCATATTTCTCCTCTCAGCCTTGAAATGTCTCCTCTGGCCTGTCCTCATGTTCCCTGCTTTGCACCGTGGAAAGTGGAGCATTGTGTCCTCTTTCCTTCACTGCAGACTCTACTAGATATGAGACTCAAGTGTTACTAAAACTGTGCATGGGCAGCAGAAACATGACTTTTGAGAGAAATCAGTACAGCGTTATTGTGCAAAAGAGAGATCAAGCTCTCAAATGTGTTACAAGTAAGTGGTGGAATGTATTTCCCACCTTCTTTGTATGGCAACAATACCTACCACTCACACAACTTCACTGTTTTTACTGGCTATATGCACAAAGACAACACAAATCGTTGTTCATCAGGACAGAACATCAGTCTTTCTGAGACCAGGGATCGCTTCAGAGAAGTTGAGAGGTCGCAAAACAACCTGAGCAGTCCAGCGCTGAGACAGAAGGGTATAATGGGCTAAAGTGGACATGTTTTGAGGACAGTGCCTCTGACTGCAGTCCCAGTTAAGGAGATAGGTCTGAGCGTGGGTGTCTAAAAGCAGACCGAAGTACCCGAGTGACTCATTGCTCTGACACAAGATGTGCGATCAGATGACAGTCGTAGACGATACTTGCACCAATGATTATACAGCAGTCCTCCCAGTGGCTCCCATCTTTATCTACAGACACAGCCTCACATGGCAGACTCCCTTCAATCACTCTTCATCTTAAGGCAGGATCAAAAAGCCAAAGGGGCCAGAAGGAGGGCAGTGAGAGATCAGGGTTCAAGTGCAGACACAGTCTCTTGGTCTTAATGTTGCGAAAAATATTTGTGTATTAATCTCACATGAAATAGTTAATGGACGACTGTGGCTCAGGGGGGAAACAGTCCTCTACCAATCATAGAGACAGGGCTTCAATACACAATGCCTGCAGAAAACAAAGTGTCCTTTGGTAAAATACTTAAACCAAAATTGCTTCCGGAGGCACGTAATCTATGGTAGTGAAGTGTATGTAAGTCGCTTTGGATAAAAGTCTCAGCTAAATGACATGAAAAGTAATCAAATCAATGTATCATATATACAAATCATTTGGTACACATGTTCTTGAAAGTGCAGTTAAGACATTTGTAATTTGGAGGTATATTAAATGATAGCAAATGGCAAATCTTCAAGGAAAGTGATTGTGGAAAAGTAAATGGGAAGCCATCAATATAATACAATGTATTTCTTTTATGGGTCTGGGGAGTGGATAGAATATTATTTTGTCAGAAACGTTATCTACTATTAGTCCTGTAATTCTTGTTAGTTTGTGTGTGTTCAACTTTTAATTGAAAACATTTGAGTTGAAGTCAAGAACTGTTGACAATATAGTCTTTATTAGTCATCAGATTATTGAACATCTCTAGTCTAACCAATAAATCAGATGGTTCCTTTTTCCTGAGCCCTGTAGATCCTCCCAACTGTGCTTATTGTGCGCTCACTGTAAAACACATCCACAACAATCTGATAAATAACGTTTTATTTTTCAAACTAAATATTAGACAATTTTACCAATAAGCATGTTGCTTACACGCCATAGTCTTGTCGTGTTGTAAACTAATATTAATTCATGGTTTTAGTTTTTGAAGTAAACACTGCTTTGGACTTGAAATTATTATTAAGTAAAAATAGAAAGAAACCAACCCATCATTCCGAAAATTAAATCTGAAACTTGGTGAGTATTTTATAGATAAACCAGGCAAGTACGATATCAAGCAGAAGACTGACTATGAGAGTCTGGTTACTCTCCACCGTTTGTGTAGCAGATGAAGACACTAGCTAGATATGTTTTTGTTTTTTCTTGTTTTTTTGGGGGGATTTTAAATTAGGTTTATTTGTTAGTAGTACTTTGATTTAAGTTGCACAATACGTTCTACTTGAATATATAATTGAATGCAGTAATAACGTGTGAAGTGTATTATCACATATGTGCAACTAGCTAGATACTGTATGTTAAAGTACTATGAAGTTATCTGGTCATTCTGACTGCGAAATATAATAGCTTTCTGTCATGTGCATCAGCAACTACAGAGCTGTGTCCTACCGCCACACTGTGGGAATCTCTTCTAATAACGTCATGTGAAAAGCTGATTTCAGACCACACAAACCCTGGGGCTTAACTCACCCTGATATTAATAGATACAGTCTGAACTCAGTGCACCTGACCATATCTCCTGATTATCTGTTAATCTCACATGACTGTATCTGAGCAAACACAGGTAGGCTGTATTAAGTGAAAGCGACCAAGTGAAAGTTATCACCCCCCTGACCTTGTGATATTAAACCTGGGCCATGGGCAAAGACAAGTGCATGCAACACATCTGATGGGGGGTGCAGGCTTACAGCCCACTCATGTTTGGACTTGGAGGCCGAAGCATCTGGGCTATGTGGATGTGTGGGGTCAGAGGGAGAGTTAGAGACAATGAGATGTATACATTGGATGACATGCAAACATACACACACACACTAGTGTGCGTGAATTGAGGTGTGTAATGCAGCGGAGCTTTACAGCCAGATGCACAAATAGCGCCTGAAAGCAGACACCTTTGTGTATTCTCTGAGGGCCTTCTGTCGGTACACATCCAGACAGAGGGTAGCCAGGGTTCCCCCGACAGGCAGGTACACTGCCCGCCCTGAACAAGAAGGGAACAAGCAAAACAGATGCAAAATGGTGAGATATCCGCTTTCTCTTTTCTGCTAATCTAAGAGGAAGCACAGAATGGGCAACGAGGTGAGGTTAGACAACTGTGAACATAGCTTAAGTTCATAATGGGGGGCAGATAATGTGTTGGACCCTGTGTCCACATAGCGCCTT